TATTTCTAGAATATTTCGAAAATTTTGAACATTTTGAAAGGGTGGCGTAACCGGGTCCTGAACGATTCTGGAGACCCGGAGGAAGGGAGGGGAAGGGGAGAGTCGACAGGTTCGGAGTGACGTCTTTCCCCACCCTTTTATGCCATAGCCGCCCACTCACGTGGGGCTTCAGGAATCTTCCAAAAGCTTATGATGTTTGTTTTATTGTGTACTTTTTTTCTCTAAAAAAATTATACACTGCCAACCATAATTTTATTTGTTGTCATCATTTGACCATTACTGGCGCTCAAAGATTGTTTCACAATTGACGACGAGCCCCTCACAGGGGCACCGTATCAATAAATCTTGTCTGGAGGAAGATCCATCTCCTCCCACGACAAGAAGTTACCAGCCTCTCGCAATACGTGTGTGCTCCCGAGTGGAAATCTACTGGCTGATTCGAGTTCAAATGTCATCCGGCCGCTAGGCCCACCCCGCCGCCTCCAAGGACGCCGCCCGGCTGGCGAGTCGGGTCCCCCACAAAGTTTATCGGGAGTCGGACGGCAATTTCAATGTAGTAAAGGGGAGCGGCACATGGCAGAGATATTTTGGTCCTCGCGTAGCTTATCTTTGGGATGAAAATAGAGCGCGGCAGAAGAGGGACAGAGACAGTCTCGAGGGGTCGAAGGTGGGAGTGAGAAAATGCTTGTATGGGTGTGCATGGCTCGCGGGTAGAAGGAGTGGGGAGGGCGTGATCGCGAGGGAGGGGAAGTTTGTCAGAGGACTGGGCAGCCGCTGAGGTGGTGGTGGAGATGAGACATTCTGTCTGGTCCGGTTTGATTCTCCAGCCCGTGAGCGGCGCGTCACGGCGGTGTTTTAAAATCCAGTTTTTATTGCTTCTTGGGCGTGTTTGCGAATGTCTGTCACGCTCGATTGTTGTGTTTTCGACATTTTTTGCCGAGATATTTATAACGCGATTGGCAGCTCGAGCAGGGTGCGGCTCTCGGCGGGGCCCTGGCCCTGATCGCACGGGTTCGCGACACCTCATGCTTGGTGCTGGCCAGAATTTAGAAAGTTACCACAAAAAATTGAACCGGTGGATAACGTGTATTTTGGAGATTTTGTTACTAGTGGCTAATTTTCCTCAAGACACGCTACACGTAAATTTTTGTCCGCGGGTCATAAACTTTGCCTTTTCTGCGGCACCGCTTGACGCTTGACATGGCAGGTCGACGACACTAATATTCTGCACATAGTGTTGTTCGATCCTTCCTATTATGGACTCTGCTTCGTCACAGTGCCACGGCCCCGGGGGACTGTTAGCTCGTGCTCGCGTGCCGTGGAACGGGTGGTCAAGTAGAGGACGGTCAGCGCCGCCTCCGGGGCGGGGTGGG